GGGGGCACACAGCTCTGACCGCTGCTCTGCTGCACCCCCAGGAGCTGCCCAGCTCCCCACCACCTCCAGAAGAGGATTTCGGGAAGGGCCCCTGGCTGACCATGAAGATGGAGCTGGGTGTGGACGAAAGGGATCCCAGCTGCTTCCTCAGGACCTACAGCGTGGTGATGGTGCTGCGCAAGGTGAGCTCTGCCCCATCCCACCCCCCCTCCGTGTTTTCCCCCCCTCCCGGGTGCTGCGGTGCCATGAGGTCGGTGCACACAGGCAGCACTGAAGCAGCTCCCGAGGAACAAAGTGCCCAGCATGGCCGTGATGATCAAAAGCCTCAGCAGGAGCAGCGTGGATGCCGGGGCCGTGTTCCGGGACCCGACCGGTGAGAGCCCTCAGCGCCCGTCCTCGTCCCATCCCGGCACTCCCCATAACCCCCGTCCTCGCCCACAGGGGAGATGCAGGGCACGCTGCATCGCCTGCTGCTGGAGGAGCGGCAGGGCGAGCTGAAGCCCGGTGCCGTGCTGCTGCTGAAGCAGGTAGGAGGCAGTGGGCAGCGCCCCCCCCCGGCACACCCGGCTCTGAGCTCTGCCCCAACCCGCGGCTCCGTCCCTTCAGGTGGGCGTTTTCTCCCCGTCCCACCGCAACCATTACCTCAACGTCACCCCCAGCAACCTGCTGAGGATCTACAGCCCTGAGCCCGACGTTGGGCTCTCGCAGCTGGAGGTGAGTTGGGGCTGAGCAGGGAAGGATGGGCGCTCCTATGGGAGGAGCTGCAGCAGCTCTGCTCTTGCAGGTCTCCTCATCCCAGGAGCGTTCTGCCCCGACCCCACACCGCATCCCTGCACGCGGGGATGGGGACCAGCTGAGGGTGAGCGGCTCTGATGCTCAGCAGCCGCCCCGAGGCTCCGGGCTGCAGCCACAGAGCAAGGAGCCCAGGCAGCAGGAGCCTGCAGGGAGCGATGGCTGCAGTGCAGCTGACCTGGGTGAGGAATGAGGATCCTGAGGGAAACGCAGCCTAAAAAACCCCTCCCACGCTGACGCCTTCCCTCCTTCTGCCCCTGCAGACGACCTGGATGGGCTCCTGCGAGATCTCCCCGAGGATTTCTTCTCAGCCCCAGCGCAGGATGATTGCTGCTGAGCTCAGGAGCTGCGCGCTGCTGGCACGGTGCTGGAGCACTCAGCTGCCGCCCTGCCTGCATCCCATCCCTCTGTGCCTTCGTTGTGTTT